TTTCGTCAATGACTTTTTGTCCGTGACTTTTTGTCCTGTGACTTACTGTCCTACATTCTACTATAGTATTCAATCAGGAACAAAAATAGTCATTTAACATGTCAAAAAAAGAAATCAGAAAGCAACTTTTTTATATAAAAAAAATATGTAGCCAGTAGAATTTTGTCTCGTGGAAAACGGATTTAAATGATTAATTTTTGATTGACCTACAATTACATTATTTGTGGAACCTTTGCATGAATTTCCTAAATGAACGTACATTATGTACAGTGTTGTCGAAATCACTATTTTTGCTGTCATGAAATATTGAATATGAATCTGTCATTATTTGTAGTTTTTTTTATAGACTTAATATCACAGACCCTGATTAAAAACAACGTGTATCATAAGTACAGTAAAATGCTCTGCTGAACTGTAGAATTTTAATGTTCTGTTTCATAGACCACAGAAGTACTGCAACATCCTTATCTTTACTCTTTCCTATCGGGTAGTGAAACTCGAGTTTGAAATTAGAAAGATTTAAAATTGAAGACAAGTTTTATCTGATCTTTTGTGGGTTTATGTTTTGGTGCAGTGCTATGTGGGCTGTTATTTTCTTTTCATTTGTCATTTTTTTATCTGTGTTACATGACCTTGTACTTTTTGTATTGCCCCTTGACATCTCCTGCTTCTGTTGAAACCTTTACCACTAATATCTCATCTGGTTTAAATAAAATAGTGTCTCATTCCCGGAATCTGTTATACAGGAATTCATTTTAATATCAGTTTTTTTATAAGCATATAAACTGCTTGGTCTCTTCACACAATTTATGTTTAGGACGGAATGCATCAATAGGTACATACATGTACCAGGTCACCAATATATAAGTACACGTTATGTGCTTTTGACCTCCACAAGAATTCTTAAACATTCATAGATGTGCAAAGAATATTTTTGTCGTTGGGTTGTTGTCTCATTGACATATACCTCACATTTCTGAATAGTCCTAGCAGCTGTGCCTTTTCAATTTATTGCAGAAAATATTTGCATTAACATTTTTCAAAATAGGCGAGGTGAAACAGTGATCACAGAATGAGGACATGTAAAACTGAAACAACACAACACAACAGATAAATATAAACAAGCACCATTGCTAAAGGACTGAAACAAACATAGATGATGACTAATATGAGCGACTAGTAGTGTACAAGTAGAGTGAACATTTCTTGCTTCTTATTCTACACATTTTGTCATTTCATGTAAACAATTAAATATGTTATTTTCCGAGGAGAGGAAGGAATTTGTGAAACGAAATATTTTGCCTTTAGTACTGTCAAGTTATATATTCACAGGAGTGTTGTTGAATAAATGAATATTTTCCCTTTTTTTACATTATGCTACCTTTATGCTACAAAGGTAGCATTTCCATTCTCATGATATACAAAGATATTATAGAGTGGCCTTCCAATGATAGTCATACATGTAAATCATTGTCTCATTGGCAATCATACTACATCATCATATTGTTATACATGTATGTAAAAATTATGTACATGTATACTTTGTAAACGTAAAGAAGACAAATGAAGTTGAACACAAGATATTTATTTGCATTTTTATCCGTATAGTCTCTGCACAACTGCCACTTCTGTTTCAAATTCAATAGATTGAATGCGGAGTCTTGTATTTATTCTTAGTTCAATGATGTCACCATCACTTGCACAAAAATCGCATACACATGTACATCAAGTTTGGCATATGAACTATGATATTTGAACTACAATAATGTGGTGTTTTCACAGTCAGGATAAGCACATGTCATTTTCTCTCTTACAAAACCATTTTTTAGTATCACATTGATAGTAGTACATGTAATCGGTCCACTACATGACTGTGCAGTAACATTTGAAAAAAGTCATCACTAATAGTTGTTCCTGTTTGCCAGGGAATCTTTTTTTCAATCAGAAAGGCTAGGGAGTCCTACATTCAGCACATGTATGATATTACATCCCTTGTATGCTGCACTGTTAGGTAAATTTGATCAACATCTTTGTTCTTTTATAACATGCAGGATCCTGTTAAAAAAAAAATGCTGTCAGATACTGAATGTAAATATACATGTATATAAACTTGTAAATGTCATCAAAGTGGTGGAAATAATGAAAAAAACAATTTATATACACAAAACCGGTATGTCTTGGGAAAGTAATTCCTGTGATCAATGGTGATGGGTACATTTGTTCTTTAAAGATGGACAATTTTATAAACTGTAGCCATGGACAGGTGCCTGTCTTTATATTGAAGAGAATGAAAATGGCCGACAGCTTGAATGGTCATTTTTAATTGTAAATTGCATCAGAGCTGGTGAAAATATGGAAAAAACAACTGTTATACACAAATCCAGTATGTCATAAGAAAGTAATTCATGTGCTGGGAATAATTATTCCCTAAAGATGGAAAAGTTTATTGACTGTAGACATGGACAGGGGCCTGTCTTTATATTGAAGAGAATGAAAATGGCCGACAGCTTGAATGGTCATTTTTAATTGTAAATTGCATCAAAGCTGGTGAAAATATGGAAAAAACAACTGTTATACACAAATCCAGTATGTCATAAGAAAGTAATTCATGTGCTAGGAAAAATTATTCTCTAAAGATGGAAAAGTTTATTGACTGTAGACATGGACAGGGGCCTGTCTTTATATTGAAGAGAATGAAAATGGCCGACAGCTTGAATGGTCATTTTTAATTGTAAATTGCATCAAAGCTGGTGAAAATATGGAAAAAACAACTGTTATACACAAATCCAGTATGTCATAAGAAAGTAATTCATGTGCTGGGAATAATTATTCTCTAAAGATGGAAAAGTTTATTGACTGTAGACATGGACAGGGGCCTGTCTTTATATTGAAGAGAATGAAAATGGCCGACAGCTTGAATGGTCATTTTTAATGGTAAATTGCATCAAAGCTGGTGAAAATATGGAAAAAACAACTGTTATACACAAATCCAGTATGTCATAAGAAAGTAATTCATGTGCTGGGAATAATTATTCCCTAAAGATGGAAAAGTTTATTGACTGTAGACATGGACAGGGGCCTGTCTTTATATTGAAGAGAATGAAAATGGCCGACAGCTTGAATGGTCATTTTTAATTGTAAATTGCATCAAAGCTGGTGAAAATATGGAAAAAACAACTGTTATACACAAATCCAGTATGTCATAAGAAAGTAATTCATGTGCTAGGAAAAATTATTCTCTAAAGATGGAAAAGTTTATTGACTGTAGACATGGACAGGGGCCTGTCTTTATATTGAAGAGAATGAAAATGGCCGACAGCTTGAATGGTCATTTTTAATTGTAAATTGCATCAAAGCTGGTGAAAATATGGAAAAAACAACTGTTATACACAAATCCAGTATGTCATAAGAAAGTAATTCATGTGCTGGGAATAATTATTCTCTAAAGATGGAAAAGTTTATTGACTGTAGACATGGACAGGGGCCTGTCTTTATATTGAAGAGAATGAAAATGGCCGACAGCTTGAATGGTCATTTTTAATGGTAAATTGCATCAAAGCTGGTGAAAATATGGAAAAAACAACTGTTATACACAAATCCAGTATGTCATAAAAAAGTAATTCATGTGCTGGGAATAACTATTCTCTAAAGATGGAAAAGTTTATTGACTGTAGACATGGACAGGGGCCTGTCTTTATATTGAAGAGAATGAAAATGGCCGACAGATTGAATGGTCATTTTTAATTGTAAATTGCATCAAAGTGGGTGATTTCATGAAAAATTCAACATATTTACACAAAACCAGTATGTCTTGGGAAAAGTGATTCATCTCATAAATGGTTTTATCCCTTTTCGAATGAAAAGGTTTTAATAAAAAATACGTCCGTGTAAAAAAAATTCATAACGTCCATGTCGGCCAAGCTTTCCCCTTATTATTGACCACAATAAAACATTAATCGTCACAATATTTTAACTAACAATTACTACAAACTGAATAAAACAAGGTAAATAATTTACGAAATTGAAATATATACTTACATTATGCTGTTTTGAAAAGCTTGATGTAAAATAAAAATCGAAGCGGTGGTGAACTTGTCATGATCAGATGCAAAATGGCGATCTCGTTAAAGTCTCGTGTGATGCGTGTTTTTAATTGGATTTCGCTGACCACTGTTACAGTTGCCAATCTCTGTGTATATATGTCTCTGGATCGGGGTTCTGTGTATTCACATTATTTGTACAACTCTCCTTACTGATGGCAAAAAATGGAATTTCCGTGACCTAAATGGTTCGCGAAAATTAATATTTTTATATATATATAGTAAATATTAGTTTTATAATAAATAGTTTATTAAGCACTGGATCTTTATTTAGTCTGAGGATACAATTATTCCACATTAAAAAACAACACATAGATACTTGGTCACTTATCACAATACTGGATATCAAAGGAGATGCAAGGTATACATCAGTGAGATAGTTTTGTCTTGGAAACATAAGACATTATTAAGGTCAAATACTGTCTTCAACAATAAAGTTATTTCAGTCTTACATTATTTATGTTGGAAGGATAATCATTGTTACCCGTCAACTTTAAGGATGAATATAAATTCCCATTTAATGATGATTTTTTACTAAAAAGTGGCCATTGTTGAAGATGCAGGTAAGCGACAGGGGCTCTTTAGAGCCTCTAGTTTGCAGAAACTATGATAGATTGCGATAAACTTTAATGTTTAAACACTCATTAATATACATTAAACAGCAAAGTAATCATTGATCAAAGATCTACACAAAAAAATTCCAGGGGAGATATTCAGGCTCTTAAAGACCTATAAGTTCTTGCAAGTATCATTAAAAATAATGTTATTTAGATATAACAATACCACAACCTTACAACATGTACAACAGAACACAACTGATTTTCTGGTCTCAACAAGAAAATGCTTAGAAATATGATATTTTTTATTGATTAATAAGTAAAATATATTTTTGTGTTACAGATTATTGTCTATTTAGAACCAGTGCTAGAAAATATAAGATTCAGAACTATCATCATAGTAAGTATGGTTTGAATTGACTCATTAAACCACCTAGTCATGCAATGATGTAACAGTGCTTTTACAAATCAAACATTCTAAAAATTCTCAAAATATCAATAAAAAAAGGATGGAACCCATTTAACTTAGCATATAAATGTGAGCTTGATCTTGTTCCTAAGCCATTTATTCCTGCATGCTTGATAAGTAAAGATAATATTTTGATAAAACGATAGTAACTTTGATGATATTTGTTAGTGTGAACTGCTTTGACACTCATTTCTGTGCATAATAGCCATTTATGCTAACCATTACAGACTTTTCAAACTTAAACCAGTTTAACCATTGGTTTTCTACAAATTGTTACCTTGCAAAACCTTGAAAACCCCTCAACCAATCCTTTATAAATTTTAATTTGGTGTTTGTCAGGAAAAATTTGAGGTTAAAGTTTAATATTGTTAGTATTCACTTTTGCTGTTCAGTGGTAAAAGACCTTGATTGAAAAATGTTGCTTTATCTTATTTCTGTGCTGTAACTTGAGAACTGTTGAAGCAATCCTTTTAAAATTTTAAAATATTGCTTTTCATGACAAAATAAAGGTCAAGTTGATTTTGACAATATCCACTTTTACCATTCATGATTAATGGTCAATGATTGATTGATAAATGTAGCTTATGATATGTTGTATCTGTACAAAAACTCTAAAGGGAAAATTTGCAAAAAAATAAAAATTTGATTTTATGTTCATCCTATATAAATAAGCATATTTTCAAAATATTAAAGGTTTATTCGTCTAGATAAGCGAGTTAGTCGATTTTTAATACCGACTATCAATTATCAACAAATCCCCATCTTGACAGCATTTTGAAACTGATTATCACGTGATATCTAATTACCACAAAGTCCTAATACTAGCATGACATGTCATAATCGTCATTCAGTATTAAAATTGACTTGTCAAGCTTATGGATGTTCTACCCGACCAAGTAATGGAAAAAGCCTACATAGTTTCCCGGATCCAGTAAAAAAGAAAGAATTGTACCAGACTTGGATCTGCAACCTAAACTTACAAGAAGCAACCTTTACTAGTACCAAGAACAAGGTGGTGTGTGAGGACCATTTTGAAACATCTTGTTTCGAAGGAAATTTGATGGTAATTATAACTTTTTATTGGCAATTATATATAAGAAGTAGTTATTGCTTTTATGTTTTTCCTGTTTTAAAGACATGGTGGTGCAAAAATAAAATGAACTCGAAGACCAGGTGAAATTTAAATCTATTAAAATTAATTGTAACCTATAGTTGTTAACTTCTAGGTGTCATTTGGTCTCTGGTGGAGAAATAATACAACAACATCTTATTTTTATAGCTTATTTTTTTTACAAGTTCAGTGCATTGGTATAGAATAATTCCGACATAATTACAAAAATAAGAAGTATAAAAAACAGACAATATCATAAAATTTGAGAAATGCTTTATTAAGCCTATTAAGATTGATAAGAATATTTTAAAAATACTTTAAAAGGTATCTTGTTTTAGCAGGTTTATATATAAGAGTAAGTTTGAAATCATCGAAAATGGATGAATAGACTTTAAATATTCAGCGTACAAGGCCTAAGTCAGATTTAAGAGCTGTAAATGACAGAAGGTTGTACATCGGTCGTTTTGGCTCGTCGTTAAATTAACATTTTGGCTCTGAGATATAGTATTAAGTATTATATAGGGCTGAGACTACTACTACTGTTATAGTAGTCTCAATATAGGAAAAAAGTCCGCAGATACTTATTCTGGGGGAAATATAAACTGAGATTTTTGAAACCAAAATTTAAGAGTTGTTTAGAATATGTATAGGCCTAGTCCCCCTGTTATCTTTTTCAACCCCTTTTACTATTCTTTATGTTTCAGCACCCATTCTTCTGTTTTCTATAATTTTTTGGTCCCGTTTTTCCTAGTCAGTACAGTCATCCTGTTGGGAATGTAGGACAGAAAGTCACAGGACAAAAAGTCACAGACAAAAAGACACGGACAAAAAGTCACAATTCAGTTTTGAGATTTTTTTCCTTTGAATAAGAAAACACTTATTTTGAAAAAAAACATTTTTGAATTTTTCTGTAACTATTATATATAAAGCCACTTTACTATTAAAATTTATTTAATAAATATCAATGATGATCAAATAATTGCTAAGAAAACAAAATGTCAAAGTGGCTTGGTACTTAAATGGCTTCAAAGTGCCAAGACATATATCCTTTGAATGATACAAAATTAAATTTAATAAATTTTTATTTATCAAGGCTAATGAACAATTTCCTTAACTTTAAAATGAATATATGTAACAAAACGAAAATATTCCAAGATCTTTCTCTTATATATTCAAACAATTGTCAACAAATTTTTTGTGAATTTTTGTCCTGTGACTTATTGTCCTAGCAAATTTGTGACTTTCTGTCCTGTGACTTTTTGTCCTGTGACTTTCTGTCCATTTAACTCCCGTTTATACCCTTATATATGGTAATGGAAACGATTTTCATTTATGAAGGCTAATGAACAGTCCTAAACTATAAAATGAGAATATGTAATAAAATATCCGCCACTGAAGTTCATTCTTTTATTTCAGGGCAGGTTGTTAGGCTTCACATCTAAAGTCAGAAGACTAAAGTCAGACGCAGTACCTACAGTGTTTGCTTGTGACCAAAACTGCAGAGTATACAACAACAAAGAAGAAAAAGAGTGTTGAACGAGGTAAAACATCTGAGACTTTACTTTCACCATTTATAATAATTATTTTGTTAGAGATGATAGATGTCCAATAAATGTATTTGAATATCCAAAACCGTTAACAAAGGGTGAACTGCACGTGATTAAAAGAAAATTATAATAATTTTTTTTACCTTGGCTTTCTGAAATACTATAATATTTTCTATTTGAGGTTTCTTCATGCCATGCGTGTTGACACATCTTTCGGAAATAAAACGGGTGGATGGAAATGAAAACATTTTTTTTTTCAATCATTTTTCATACCCCAAGTTAATGCTGTTTATTATTTAGAAATATTGAATATAAGTGCAAATATAGTGTTTTCAACTACTTAACAAACACGAAAACGCTATAAAATTGTCACACATTCAACCACTTGAAGGTTGGTAAATAATAAAAAATACTTACCGATATATTTTCTGCATCAAATTTCTTTCAAGCATTACTCCCAAGAATAAATATATATGAAGCGGAAAATTAGAACAAACCTGGCCTATAGATTTTTCAACGCTTACGTACATACTTTTGCATTTCCTTATGCTGTTTGATTTTTTTCTTACAGATTCAACTACCAATCAACAATGGGATCGTAGACGACAAAGAGAATACAGTTTTGACAGAAAGTAAAGGTAAGCATAACTAAGTATCTCTCTCGTAGTGACAATTTCATGCCAAGAAATCCTCACTCAAAACTCCGGTGGACCACCTACGATACCAATTAGTAGTTAAATATTTGATTTCATTCATCTAATTAATTTATGACCTGCATGTACGTGTCGCTTAGAACACGGCCACGTACCAAATTGTCAGTATTAATCGTCTGTGTAATTTGCTCTATGGGATGTTTGCAAAATTTCAACGGAGGAAATTACTAGGCATGGGAGAAAGGATGAAAGACCATTCACAATGTGTCTAACCTTTTGTTTGAATTAAATAGAAAAAAAAAATAAACCTTTCAAATATAAAATTCATAAGATTAAAATATTCCCTGTGGAACCCCTCCTTTTGCTCCCTCCATTTTCACCCCTTGATTTAGGCTTTCCAATCCAATTTAAATTAAAACCTTGCTTTCTAACCAATCTATTCATGTACAGGACCGGGAACTCTCTTTATTTAGATAGAAAATCTGCAGTGCCGTTATACACATGCATGTTGTCTGCTTGGAGTTCCCGCCTGAAAAGAAAGAAATATCCGATGTCCAAGATAATATATTCCCTGCATCACATGATTTTTACCACGTGGGCTTACATAAGAATAAATACCGAATATAGACAGTGAAACTACAATTCAAAACGTAATATCCATGACAAATTTCCTTCTAATAAAACATACCTGAAGGCACTTTGAAGAAAAAACGATTTTGTGTCCAAAATATGCATGAAATATTTGCCACTGCACCTTGCATGTTCTATGAATTCTAACCCTGAGTTTTCTATCTGTTACAACGGTTTATAAAATAAAAAAATATGAATGACTGGAGTTAGCTGTAAATGTACATGTTTGTGGAAAAAAATTGGTAAATAAGAAAAAGATAATATATCAAATGCTGAAATGACTCTAAAAGGTTCTGATTTGACTTGTAACCCTATCATATGTCTTTTCAACATGGAGAGGAAAAAAAAAACAAATTATTTCTGGATCAATGTAGATCCTTATCTAAAATACAAGCAGAGACACATAAAAACTGGTAGAATAGCAATAACTCCGAAGAAGAGCGAGAATAATTGTGCCAACATAATAAAATCCCTTTTTTCGCAAAATAACGTGTGCGAATCCAGACTCCTATGAAAAATATAAGATCTGAGACCAATAAGCTTTGAATTGATAAATTTTGTGTCCTTCATTCTGCTCTTCAGTATTTTTCCGGTCTTACTTCAAATCAAATTAGTTTATATTGCATTCAACCCCTAAATGATAAGCTGATGTTTATTTTGTCTATTAGTGTAATTTTTTAAGGAAGATCTCAAATCTGTATTATTCTGTTTCTAAATTCGGTCAAATTTATTTCAGAAGACAACATTCCACACAAAAAGAAAAAGCATATTCTGAAAGCTGTAGATGGAAATGTAAGGGGATCAGTAAGTATTCTTTATTTCATTTATTTTACAAGCAGACATTTCATTGATATTGGATGAGGTTAAGGACACTAGAATCATGGATTAAATTTTTTTTTGAATTGCCAATAACTTTATTCATATTTATATAGATCCAATGCACCCTAGCATTTTTTTTTCATTTTATTTCACTACCTACTTCGAAAGGGCATATAGAAGAACTTTTCTCCGATTCTATTAGGCTATGTTTTGTGTTCACTGTTTCAACAACAGTTATTTCACAGTGACCTACATTTTTTAAAAAATATTCCAGTAATATCAATTGGTTTCATGTCGTTTCATATGAGATAGTTTATATTTAATTCTGTGGTGGTAAGATTGACTCCATGCTGATCGTTGTAATAATAAAGCCCATGTTTATGTGTACATTATAAAGGATGTTTAATTATCTACTCATTTCAGTCATTTTCTAAGTGGAACACTTGAATTATCCTATAAGAAAACAAGTATTCAAGTATTTCATCATTGTAACGTTGTTGAAAGTTATAGAAAAAGATATGCATATCTGTTGTACAAGTGTTTCATAATCCCACTGGCGAAGGAGCTTGAGGCAAGAAATATAACTATGTAGTTGTCCACCACCAACCCACCCACCCAATTTTTGGACAAATTAAAAAATTATAAAAAATGAAGAAAAAAAATGTAAGATAACACTAACTATAAGACTATTCTTGAATTACAATGTATAGAGAAGACTTTTTCCCTCTCATTCAGGAGTGTGCTTACATCATCCCCCCACCCCCCTCTCTCATTTTTCAACTCCTTCGCCACTAAACCTTGAACCCATACAACACTGTACAAGCTAAATTAGATGGTCATTTTATTTTCCCCATTTTCTTTCCAGTCAAAACCCATAATGGTTGACATCGGGGTTCAGACTTCACCATCACCACAACTTAAGACAGATCTCAGTACATCAATGACAGACCACAACTACTTCTCGACACAACCACTGGATACAGCATTTATTGGTTCACCTCAGAAAGACCCGAATGCATCCGATGAATCCAAGCCTTCACCACCACCTAGTCCAGAGAAGCCTGACAGTGACTTGTCATATGTACCAAGTGATGAATCCCATGAGTCTAATCAGTTCAGACTCCTCTCAACACATCAGCACAGAACCAAATGGTATGGCATTTGAGAGCTGCATGAGGTCATTGTTTACACGAGTTGTATGCACAGAATGTGGAGTTGCAGTATCAGCTGACGAATCAAGGATAACCTACAATGGGACCTCAATGAAAGTAAAATTCCTCTGCATGGAAGGTCATCAGACATTTTGGGAATCACAGCCATTGGTAAACAACAAACCCGCTAGTAATTTGATAGTGGCTACAGCAATAATCCTGTCCGGCAAATTTTCACAAGAATATCTCATTTTGCAGATATCCTTTCGCTGAAGTTTATTGGACCTTCCCAGTTTTACAGTACACAGAAGGACATTGCCATCCCAGCCATTGACCGCTATTACAACATGCAAAGAGACATTATTCTCCACCAGCTACAGGGTAAGCAGCTCATCCTTGGTGGAGATGCCGCTGCAACAGTCCCGGCTTTTCAGCCAAGTATTGTACATATACTTTCATGGACACAAAGGCAGGGGTAATTCCAGATTTCAACTTAGTTCAAGTCTCCGAGAACACATCATCCAACAAGATGGAGTTGATAGGCTTTCAGCAGTCCCTAGCTAGTATTGAAGCTGCAAATTTAAATGTCGGAGTGGACATGTACAGATTTGCCGGGCAATGACAACGGATCATAGGGACAAAGCCCACCAATTTGATGTTTGGCATATGTCGAAGTCCATACAGAAAAAGATTCTTGCCATCAAGCCGAAAAAACTACTAGCTAAAATCAAGCCATGGATCCCATCCATCTGCAACCACATTTGGTGGTGCTCCAAACAGGCTGATGGCGACCCAGATGAGATGGAAGAGACTTGGAAAAAGCCTGCCTCAAACAGACACACCTTTCCAGGGAAGATCATTACCATATGCGGACACCCCCCACTGAGCCCTGATGCAATAAGAAAGAAGAAATGGTTAAGTAAAGACAGCCAATCTTATGCAGCGTTAGAAAAGGTGCTCACAGACAAACTTATTCTTCGGGACATACACCATCTTGACCTTTTCTGTCACACCGGGGCCTTGGAGACTTACCACTCAATGATGTTAAAGTATTGCCCAAAACGACTAGAATTTGATTATCAATCGATGGTTGCCCGAACACAGCTTGCAGTTGTAGACAACAACCTGGACATTGGAAGGAAGCAGAAGACTGGCGCTAATGGGAAACTGTCTTTCCCTACAAGATGTCCAAAGAGCACTGGCCGATGGACTGCACGTAAGGTGTATGAAAAAAAAGACTACGACTTTAAATCAGATATTCTGCAGTTCGCAGTTACAAGTCAACTGGAGGGAATCAAGAAGAAAACGACACATCAGCTTAAGTGGCTTTTCCTGCCAGCAAACATCAGTAAGGACCCTGCACCATGTAAAGAGGACCTGGTTGATGACCACAGATCATGTTTCTCCTAATTTGTATATCGGACAGTTTACTGTTTCAGTTTATGTACACTAGACTGTATATGTATGGATCATCTTTCTGTATTAAAGGTTTTAGAATTTTTAGTAAGAGAGAGAGAGAATTGATTCTTTTATTGTTAAGGTTTTCTTGTTATGCAAAAGTTTTTATGATATATTAGAGAGAAAAAGGAGATAGAGAGAGAGCTGAATCTTTCGTTAAGATTTTCTTGTTATGTTTCTGCATAGTTTAAAATGATTTATCAAAATGTATTATGTAAAAAGTTTATTATATATGTAAAGTTGTTTAGTGTCATGGTGTGTTTTTGTGTAATTTTATTCCGTTTGTTTTTATTGTGTCAATAAGAATAAATCTGTTTAAAGGTATTCCACTTCTTTAGTTCTACATATATGTCTTTACATGCCTTTAAGCAATTCAAGAGTAAATGTATATACAACGTTCATATATACATTTAATATGTGTCACTGGATATTAAAAAAACCAATTCATCCTCAGCACCCACTTCCATATGGGACTTATAGCGCTTCACCTTTCACTGACATGTAAATCAAACAGACGATTCACTTTCTAAGATTTGTATGTAAAACAACAAAACAACCCACTGTTCTGCATGTGTTAATGATAGCCAAAGATAGCAATTCTGTTGTTAGGTCAATTATCTTTTAATCAATACTACAAAACATGGAACATAAGTTGCTAAAGATCCGTTATTTTAATTCAGTGTAATATTTCGAAATAAGTGCCCTTTTTTATGAGACATACTGTATTTCAGGCGAGGAGCATACAAGTGCAGAAACAACAAAAAATAAATGTTGTATTTTGGTCTTTTGTTGTCTTCATGTACCCTGTAAACGTTCGTTTTTCACAAGAAAAAGTTTATTTAATCATTCATTTAGCATGTGAAATATGAATATCAATAAGTAAAATTCTGACTATACAAATGCAAAATATACCGTGCAGGTTTGCTTTCGTCAAAAGAGATAAGAGATCTGACAAATAGATTATCGATATTGCAAAACACCCATTAATAAGTTTGAACTTCAGAATTTTAACTTCCGCAAAACAAGATAAGTCATTTGATTAAAATAAGGAGTTGTGGTAGGTTGCCAATGAGACAGCTTCCCAAATGAAGTTGATTTAAGTAGCTATGTAGGTCATGGTACGGCCTTCAGCAGTGAGCAAAAGCCACATCGTGTAATGTTTAATTAAACTAAATATGAAAATGAAAGGATTGAAGGAAACATACAAAGAATATATTTAGCATAAAAACAGTTTGATAAGAATTCAGAAATCAAATCAAATCAAATATATGTTCATTTTACAACTATACAGAGTCTGACATGTCACTTTCTCATTCTTTGAAGCCTTCGTAAACACCATCTAGTGACGGAAATTCTTTCCTTATGATGTTTACAGCACAAGCTGGTATAGTTACTCTGTTTCTCTTGCCAAGTGGTTGACCTTTCCTGACCCAACAAACAAACTGACGATAAGGGATTAGTCTGCTTTGCCTGTGAGTTAGAACGTCTGGAGCTCTCCCTCTATTGCACTTGTACCTCAGAAACTTATGTAGCTTGTTTCGAGAACAACCGGGTTCAAACAAACTGTTCTAAAGTTGGTATTGTCACTGATACATTCAACCAATTCAACCTTACCATCAAAGAGAGTAAATTCGTGGCAACATAGACATTCCGTCATTAATGGCATAACTATACATTTAGTACATGAACACCAATTAGTGTTAAACTGGCGAGGGTTGCTTATGATATCTTGATGTCGGGAACTTTCTGCAGCTTCCATTTTCTCTTCAGTATATTCTGGTTCTAGTGCGTACCCAAATTGACCAAACTCTTCAAAATCTGTCTCTTTTGAGGGACTGGAAAAACTGTTAGTATTTTCACTCTCCTAACTAGGCCTTTTTAGTTATGATTTTAAAATTCATCTGGGAACCATATATACACTGTCATATAAAAACAAACACACTCTAATCAAAAGAGAAAAAATATGTGAGTAAAAGTTAATTGGATCAGCAAAATTGTCAACCTTTGATCTCGAATGTATTGGTAATTAACTAATGTGTTTTTATAGTATAGGTCCTTCCATTATTCAAATTACAAATAATCTATATTATTTTATAAAATAATCCCTTCGTCCTCACCCAAGATTTAATGCTACACGGTAGAAGTATTGCAGGTATGAAGTCATTGAATGAATTATAAATGACAATAATTATTCAATGTACAAAGATTTAAAAAAAAAATGTCTCCGTTTATTCGTACATATTCTAGGTTCTATTCCACTCAGGTAAAGTTGACTTTCGATGGTTTCCGATATTAATTAACCTTTTGGTCCCGGCATTCAAATGTCTAAATTTTAGTGTTAACGTACATTCTTTGCCTAATGAGGACAATCAAAACGCGTTGGTTAAACTAGTTCTATTTTCCTTTTTTATGGGTCAAATGATAAGAGTGTAAAATCATTTTATTCTGCCATTTGAATTTTTTTTCCTGACTTTAACCATAGATTTTTTATTTCTTAGTTTATAAACTTATTAAATTCAAACAAATCATAACCCCAAATATAATTAAATCATTCCACGGCAATCTATTTGTTTTTCCCACCACCTTGAATATGTATTTTATGTAACTTTGTGTATTAAACGCGACCTTCTGTCTTATAATCCACTGATTCGAATTGACAGTCACACCTGGCACAGTGTGCCCTAGAGGCCTGGCTAATTGCCGATCTGTAAATTCCCTTTTACCTTTTTACAAGCCTTCCACGAGTATTGCCAGAGAATAATACACAACACATTGTATATACTTAGTCCTTGCGTAGATAGTAAAAGGTCAATAAGCGTACACCTATATATTGTCTTCACATTTTAAGTTATATACTTTAATTTGTTCACCATTTCAGTCAGAAAAATCAAATATTATTAAAAAAAAAAAAAAAAAGAAAAAACTTTTTGTGCTGTTAACAAAACTAAATTGAAATATATATGGTTAATATAAAAAAAATTATCTCATGAATGTAAAAAGTTGCATGTCTGTTCATTTTATTTTCTTACTATCGGATGGTAATTAGCTATCGAAATTAGTCATCGGCGCACTTATGATTAGGTTAAAATATGATTAAAGACCAAGACTTTTAATGATTGTACTTTAAATCCCGGCATGCAATACCAGGAGAAAAGGTCACGTACCACAGGAAGTAGTCAATAAAATTTTTTTAATTATTGATTTTCTTCTTTATTACTGCACATAGCGATTGAACTTTGTGAATATGTATTTTATAACTTTGTGAATATGTATTTTATGTTATAATGAACATATTTAAACTATAAGTAAAAAATTGAGAATTTTCCCTTTAAGAAAAGTTCAACCAATTTTTATAGATTACAAACAACAGTGAACCAACAACGCCTGGTAAATCTTCAATACGATAGAATCCCTAAAGTGGATACCTCGGGTATGCAGGGTTGTTACGATAAAAAACACAAAATGTGAAAGCAGTTATATTGACAACACTTTAGGGATTGCTGCAGTAATATTTAATGAGATAGACATGTTTTGGTGCCTAGAGCACTGTCATCAGAATAAAAAAATACAGAAAATCGCACTGAAGTACAAAATCGGGAAGGTATTGAGGGTCAACCACCTTAATCAAGAACAAGCCCGAAAGGAAAAAGAAGATAGGATTATTTCTCTCTACAAAGTATTGCAAATTAATTGTCACGACAGAATTGATTCCCTGTAAACCATAGTTTATTCAACTCGATGTGAAACAAAGATGTGTGGTCCTAAATATTCTGAACAAAATATACAACAACCAGTACCTGACACCATTCCCGATTTTATTTTAAATAAACTATTGTGCAATTAAAATTCATCATAACTTATTATATCTTGTGAAATAAACGTTTTCCAACACCAGCAGCGGCCAAACACTTAACAGCATTCGTGACGCGATTTGAAGTAGTACCTCTGGCCAAGTGAAGCCGGTTGAAATGGTACGAAATTGCAAGTCAAGTGCCGTTCAAATTTGGGTAAAATATAGACTGTACACAGTTGGACAATAATTTATTAAATATTTTAGTTCCATTATGCAAGATGACATACGCATATTTATTCTTCTCTTTTTATAGCAAGTAACAGACTTTGGCAGAATAATATCAACAAACATTTTAATTTCAACGACATTCACATTTTATTCAACATTCTTGTAACTGTTCAAGTTTACTTCCATACATGTGTCACCAAGGTCCCACAGAGCACTGTTAGAAAAGGGGGAGCTAACTCGTATGTGTTGGAACCAAGGGACAGGGGGTCAGTCTATCGCTAGACTTAATGTTCTGATAGGCATAGCTAAAACGCAAGGAAGGTTTTCATAATTTAATTAACGATAACAATTTAGATGAATGATGATAACAATCAATTAGTAAACAATGCCAAATAATAATAATAATTAAAGTACAAAGTAAAAAATCTAAATATCAACTCCAAAGTAAAACTATTTCTCCTTTCAATGTAAAATGTAAAATAAATGCCAAAACTACTAAATCATAAAATGAACTTAATCTCAAAATCAAAATGTAAAAGTCTCAAAAATAAAAGATTCCCAAAAGTATTTTCCAAAGTTAAATTATGAGTCAGAGATAAATTTTGTCTCAACACTACACAGTCAACTGGTAGACTGGTAGACAGTCTTATAGGTCCAGTATCATGACGTGAGTAGTGAGAGGTTACGCTTCCGAAACACTGACTGTTTTCTAAAGTTTTCTCAAAAATAAAAGGTGAGTCAAAAATACATTTTTGTCTAAACACTACAAAGTCAACTGGTAGACTGATCAACAGTTTTACAGATCCAGTATAATAGACTTTAGCAGTGCAAGTTAAGGTTTCCGAAAGGTGACTGATTTTCCTAAATTTCAGAACGCTATTTATACTAAATCCAAAAATAGATCAATAATACTCGACATGTAAATATTACTCTCATTAGCAAAAATAGACTTTAATTAACAAAGCCTAATCCTATAGTGTTTTGATAAAATCTTAAACTTTCAAAATGACATATGCTAATTACAATTAATATTTCAAAACAAAGTGCTTTGAGCAAACTGTGACATTTCAAGTATTAATGCCACAGCATAGGTAAAAATCAATTACACCAAAATTAATCAAAAATGTTACAAAATACAAACTTAAAATTTTCTTTCTAAAAAATAAAACATATTTTTTATCCAAAATAACACTAACACAAATATAAGCCAAATAACACACCATGACACATGTATACTTTAACTTTCTATTTATACTCACCATGGTTACATTGTGACGTAATTTATACCCTCTCGATTTTGTACTTCAGCGCGATCTTCTGTATTGTTTTTATCCTAAAGACCAAAACATGTCGTTCTCATTAAATATTACTTCAGCAATCCCTGAAGTGGTGTCGTTATAACTGCTTTCACAATTTTTATAGGGTTCCATAATTCTAATATGATATGCTTCTTTAGCTTTGTAAACAACAGAGTTATAAATTTCTTGATATAGGTATACTCACAGATTTACATATTATTGGTTGTTACAATTTACCTCCCACATAAATCCACATGTTTTGTTACCTATTTGCAACAATGTCGTAACAAAAAAATACTTCAGAACATTTATTCTTTTTCTAATTTTAATAAAATGAATTTAATTTCCACAAAATTCCATGAACGCTCTTGGCGCATTTACGTCTATTCAAAACATGACGCATACTCCTGAAAACTCCAAAGCAAAAGTTTATTCCATTGCATGTACACTGCAAATTCGGATAATATTACCTTGACCTCATTGCCATGGATATTTAAAAAGTTCAGTTTATGTGATACTTGTAGCAAAGCCTTTATCTTTAAGACTTTCTACATAAAATATATGGTCAGTAAAGCAGGCTAGACATTTCAGCGTGTGCACTTTTGTTAAAAAAAATATATCCCTTGGAATCATCAGCAATGTCTCAGACGACTTTTGCATTGTAAGTGCTCTCACATGTTCAATTTTTGCAAGATTTTTATCAAATTCATATCAAAGGTATATAACAACAATGTCTTGGACAATTTTGAAAATAAGTGCTGATCAAATATTTTTAATGAGTTTGGAAATATTAAATATATTGGAAATTGCTCTCAAGTCTTCAACTCTCTAATAAGATAATTTTAAAAAGTTTTAAAGAACTAAAAAAAAATTATTTCAGTTATTGCCCTTGGACAGAACAGATAAAATATGTGCAACGCGGGGAACATTGGAACTCTGTTCTTTTATTTATTATTTTTCTTAAAATCAATTTATGTATTCAACAGACATGCGATTGCAAAACAGGATTTTTAAATTGCATACTGGTCATGAGCTATACTGAATTGGCATTGTTATTTCTGCCCTCTGTCTGTCACAGCAAACAACAAATCAACAACTTCATTATATTTTGGCTAACCTACAAATGACAAGTTATGAAATGAAAAAGTGAGATTTGTTTGAACTTACTGATTTCAGTATAAAGTTGAGGTTTCAAACTGTTTCTACTCTAAAAGTCTGATTGGAGTTTGTTGCCTTGGGTATAAATAAATTGAGATCAAGCATATCATGAATATGATAGCTAATGACCAAACCATATAAACCAGTTTTATTGGTTTTCCAAAAGAGGTTTAGTTTGGGATTAACAAATGTACTTAGCTTAGGTTTTTGAACTATTTTCAAACTGGCTGCAAAAACAAATAATTATGATTCATTTCATTAAACTTCTTCAAAACAAAGACTGTTTTTACATTCACATGTCGACTTTGGCCAGGGAGCTTCCCCTAATTTCCAAAAACAGCATCTCAGAATGGAACATACAGTGGTTGCCTCCTATTTAGCATGTTGTAATGTTATCTATTGGAAAAGAGAGGGATGGGAGAGAGAGAAATGATGTTTTGAAAGAGAAAAAAATGCTTAACAATTGAACAGCACTTTCATTAAGAATCCATGTCACTTTTTTAACATTTTGAAAAAATGAGGTAAAATCATGCACCTTTATATAACAATTATCAGATCTTATATACCAAACACGCATTTAGGTTCACAATTGCATTTCTTTTTTTAAAGAAAGCAACTTGTATTATATTTACACTGATTTTTATTATTTATTTTTAGGCTATACAGGGAATTTTATTGATAATTGGAACAGTAGGCTGTAAAATCATAGTATCCAAAATCCTTGAAACTGCTGATGATGTAAGTAATAACTTCAAAATAGTTTTACCTATAAGTATCACCAAAGACTGATTTGCTTATAAACATGATAAATGCTCATAATGTAATTTTTGTAACTAATTACATGTGGCTGTACAAACTGTTTGGAAATAAGAAGCTGAAATTTAATGCTTGACTATACAGATGAACAAGAGACCAAAAAGTATTGAAATTATTGACCTGACATTTTTGTACAAACCTTAATTTAGCTTATTTCCTTAATTTTTTTGCTGCTAATGAAATTTACCAAGCAATAGATTGGAATTGCAGTATTTAAAAGTTTCGAAAATGTATTTATTTTACAATTGAAATATTTACCCAGACAACTCTCCTTCAGTCTTAAGTTCTTCTTAGTATAATGTCTGTAAAATGTTTTATAAGGTACATGTAAATTGCAAACAAATTCTGTGATTGTGTACAGAAACCCTGTACTTAATAGATATTCCAAAAGAATTCAACTTTGAAAGTTTAACACTGAATGTAAAATACTGTTTCATTCATTCACTTTAATGTGTTAATGGATGTTTAGCTATTAAAAAAAGACAGCACCAGCCTGAAACACAAAATTAGAATGAATACCTAATTATGTTATGTAGTTTATACATCGTTCTGCATTAACGAAGTTGAAAAAGCGAGACTTAGACATGCTCTTCCTAGTGGAGGCGGTGGTAGTGTCAGCAATGTATTTGTGATTAGGTCAGTTTATTGGGAACCACTTGTGGTAGGTCAATTATATTTGGTATGCAGTTGTATAAGCATTGGCACATCTCATTTCCATAGAGACTATTTTGCTCTGCCTCCTCACTCATGGTCTATTTATTGACTTTGAAACTTTTGCTGAGTTTACATGTATTAGTTTGTGATTAGATCAGTTTAAGGAAAACCATTAGTGGTAGATCAATGATGTTTTGTATGCAGATGTATTAGCATTAGCACATCTCATTTCCTTGGAGATTATTTGGCCCCACCCCATCAGTCATGGTCTGTTGACTTTGAATGTTTTGCATAGTTTACAAGTTAAAGTTTGTGATTAGATCAGTTTACGGTGAACCACTAATGTTAAGTCAATGATATTTGGTATGCACATGTATTGGCATTTTCAAGTCTCATTTCCATAGAGATTATATGGTCCTACCCCTCATCATGGTTCATTGACCTGGGATTAAACCATGATTATGCCCATTGAATTTAAAACTTTTACATAGATTACAAGTTAAAAGTTTGTTTAAATATTGCCATAAAATTTTAACATTTGCATTATACTATCAAAATTACAAAAAGCTAGACATATCTTGGTGTCAACAGTTTATGATATTTATCAGTTAATACTTGATTTTATTAATTAAAATTACATAATGATATGGATATAAAGGTAAATGATTAAAAAGATGTCGAAAAGATTAGGTCGCCCCTACTTTGTCAAGAATAAACATTGCAAAACATAAACATAAATGGCAAAATCAACTTGTTTTTCCAGAAGTACTGAATAATCAGCTTCCGTACCTGCTATTTTGAATGTTGAAGTAAAATAACTGTGGACTGTTTATGTGTAATTTCATTATTTTCATTGTTATACACCAAATGCAAAGGACACTTACACCATTGGAAATGGTAATGAGTTATATCTGTTATTAAGGATATTATTAACCAATAATAACATTTTAATAGTTTATGCTTTTGAAATATAACTCATTATGAATTAGATTCTGAAAGGATGAAATAAATTTTTGTCTTGCCTCGACAAAGTGGTAGGTCAATGAAATTTGGTATGTAGTAATTGTAGTTGTATTAGAACTGGTACATCTCATTTCCATTGAGATTATTTGGCCCTGCCATCTCAGTCATAGTCTATTGACTTTAAAACTTTTGTTTAGTTTACATGTTAAAGTTTGTGAAAAGGTAAGTGTAAGATAAACCACTAATGGTAAGTCAATGAAAATTGATATGCAGTGGTATTAGCAGTTGCGAGTCTCATTTCCATTGGGATTTTATGGTCCCCCCCCATCATCATGGTTCAATGACTTTGAAACTTTTGCATACCCCCTAGTTTACATGTTAAATTTTGTGGTTGGGTAAGTTTAAAGGGAACTACTTATGATAAGTCAGTGATATTTGGTATGCAGTTTATTTTTGATATTTTTCCATTTCTAATTTCCACGGAGGTAATTTGGCCTTACACCCTCATTCATGGTTTTGCATAGTTATTATAAAAAGAAGATGTGGAATGATTGGCAATGAGACAACTCTCCACAAGAGACCAAATGACACAGAAATTAACAACTATAGGTCACTGTACGGTCTTCAACAATGAGCAAAGCCCATACCGCATAGTCAGCTATAAAAGGCCCTGAAATGACAAATGTAAAACAATTCAAACGAGAAAACTAACGGCCTAATTTATGTACAAAATAATGAACGAAAAACAAATATGTTACACAGCAACAAACGAAAACCACTGAATTACAGGCTCCTGACTTGGGACGGGCACATACAGAATGTCGCAGGGTTTATATGTTAAAGTATTGCTAATTTGAATTCAACATTTGCATTGTACTCTCAAATTACATATAAAGGCAACCCATATCTCTGTGTCAACAGTTTATTAGTATGAACAGATCCAAAATAAAGTTTGATGTAGTATAATGATAAAAAAATTGTAAGGAACAAAAATTTCATTAGTATTTACTAGAAATAAAGATCACTATTGATATGCTTTTTTTCTGTAGGCACACATAGGAGAAATATTCAGAAGTAAGTTTGGAGATTTTAAGAATTTCCATACAATGTTGTACACTTGTGCCAAGGAGTTTGATTTTATGGAACCAGAGGTAAAGATAATTAAATATTTGCATGTAACTGAGTCAAGTCCTACAGGATTTATATAAATTCAAATCATATAACCAATTCTAAGTTCTTTGACTACAGTTATTCTGTGTCAGAAACCTATTATGTGTCAAACATTTAATTTCAATCCAAATTCAGACCTGTATCAAGCTTAAATATTGTGTCCATTTTTGTCCCAACTGTTCAGGGTTGGACCTATCCAGCTGCCCTCGGCGAAGCAGTTTATTGGTTATTATCTTTAATATTATTATAGATAGAGATTAACTGTAAACAGCAACAATTTTCAGCAAAGTACAATCTATAAATAAGTCAATATTACCAAAATTGTCTATTGATCCTTTAAGGAGTTATTGCCCTTTATATTCAATTTTAACAATTTTTCGTAAATTTTTGTAATCTTTTACAAAAGTCTTCTCCTCTTAATCTACTTGGCCAAATAGAATTAAACTTAGCCACAATTTTCAATAGGGTATCTTGATTGAAAAATCTAACTGATGACCTTGTCATCCAACCAACATGGCCACCATGGCTAAAAATAGAACATAGGGGGTTTACTGTAGAATTCTATGGGAAAATTGTAAAAAAACCAATTTCAAATGGTCAAAACTTACAAACTAATTTAAATAATGATGAGGGGTTTTCAGTAACTATTGTAAGACTGCTATGGGATGACCTGCTTTTAATTTAACTACTGGGCCAAATTAAACCAAACTTGGCCTCAATCATTATTAGGTATCTAATACTATTTATTATGATTTTAACCTTATTTTATATCATTTCCAAAACCACAGTAGATACAGGTGAGCGACACAGGCTTTTAAGAGCCTCTAGTTAATTAGTGTCATATATATATAAGAGTTTTATGTCACTCAAAATAATTTTATAACCTAATAAGTACATCAAAGGTCCAGCCAATTTCTTAACTAATCAACCCTAACATTTACAAGAAGTGTGTACACCTGTGACAATTGTCTAAGTTACCAGTATTCTATTGATTAACTGTATCAGAATGTAATCAATAAATTAGACATCATTCAATCATACAGAACTGCAAAGATATGTTTCTCTGTTTTCTTAATGTCAATTGTTATAGCTTTTTAACTGCAACCATTGCAGTATCCGCCAAAATATATATAATTGGGAATTAAGAATCTGCCAAAATAAAAGCCGCAAATTTTTTTTTGTTGCCCCAAAATCATGAAATTTTACACCCGTGAAAAAAACCCACTATACGGTATTTGGTGTATGGAATGATTGTAAGGTTTACATGTCTGTCTGGCATTGTTCATCTGTTGATTACTTCAGTTTCATAGAACAATGAAAATGTTAAGCTTATATGATACTTCCAATAAAACCTTGGTATAACAGACTTTCAAGATAAATTCAATGATACATACCTGTCAACCTCTGAAGATGAAAATGCAGGTCATGACCTGCATTGAAGAAGAAAATCTCAGTTCATATCGGGTACAAACTTTTTTCACCTGATTTAAAGTATTTAGGGGATTTTCTTTTATATATTTAATCGAACAGTTTCCAAATAATGTTCATATGGTTAAGTATTTACTGAAAATAATTAAAAAATTTAATTTAATTTTTCATTACATTCATTAACCATTGACATATTAATTTATAACACTATAACAACTCAAGCCATAACCACTATTATTGTTTTATTCACATTGTATTAAATCAATCCTTTATCCATATGCTAGATAATTTGTTATGGCTTAGCATCCCTTAACAGCTGTACTTTGTAGTTCATTCACTTATGAATATATGAGATAATATAATTTAAAATTATAGCATTTAAAGGAAGTAGAGATGAAAAAAAAAAAATCTAAATATTAATTGTTTAGTTGTCCCAAGAAATTAAAAATCATATAAGTATTATTCTTATATATCTTTGCATTCAATTTGCTTTAGATTGAATCTTTTTACCAAGAAACATCAATTTAAGAAGTATACTTTAAAAAGTGGCAAAAAAGGGGGAGTAACTCGAATTTTTTTGTCAAACATCTTTGAAATACACAAATTATTTTTGACCTTAGGCTAAGATAATTGTTGTTAATAAATAGTGTGTTTGACACCAAAGCTGTCAAGTCAAGCCATGCACTTAAAGTCATATGAAACTTCAAACTTAAAAAAAAAGTTGAATATCATATGTTATATATACTTAAATGTCTAAGTTTTACTATAAAACAAGTGTACGTGAACTTTTTTGTTAAAGAAAATCCTTCATATTATCAAAATCTGTATAAATGTACTGCTTTTGAATTATTGTCTTCTCGTACACTAATTCGCTGATATTTTCCCGTATGCAGTAACCTTAACTACGAGACCTCTCATTAGAACTCGGCCACCACATAGCGCAAGTGCGAGGGGGAAACCATGATGAAAAAATGTAAACAAACATGCACTAGCTATGTACTGGAAGGTAAATAGTAATAACTGAATAAATTTAACCCAACAAATCATTTAACAACTGTTAAGAAAAGTTTTATTAACAAATGGGAACGTTTGGAATTATTAAAAAAAATATCTTGGCTCTATCTATTCACTTGTTTGTCACATGCTCCACATGCTGTGTGTTGATTGTTTTAACAATGTCACGATCCAGTATTCTTAGGCAACAAACTGGAAAGTTAATTAGCTTGTGATGAACAATCACTGAATGAAATATTGTTTGTCCATAATACGTTATAGATTCGAAATAAACATAAAAAACATGCATACAGGACTTAGTTTAGTATATATGCATGCATTGGCTCAATAATGTTGACAAAATTAAAATTACAAGAAACTCATTTCATATGACTTTAATGGGTCACTAAATTTGACAGTTAACAAAACTAGTGCAACTTCCTTTCCAGGAAGAATTAACAATTTTCTGATATTTCAAAGGAAAATCACTTAGGAAATCCAACAAGCTGTACAGTGACTTATAGTTGTTAATTTCTATGTCATTTGGTCTCTTGTGGAGAGTTGTCTCATTGGCAATCATACCACATCTTCATTATTTTATATCAAGACATAATAATACAGGTGAAAACAGGTCAAATGCCAAAATAGCGGGTTAACTGAGGAAATTATAGCAAAATTTCGGGTGAACTCTTTTTAGCTCACCTGGCCCATAGGGCCAAGTGAGCTTTTCTCATCACTTGCTGTCCGTCGTTGTTAAGTTTTACAAAAATCTTCTTCTCTGAAACTACTGGACCAAATTTTACCAAACTTGGCCACAACCATCATTAGGGTATCTAGTTTAAAAAATGTGTCTGATGACCCAGCTTGCCAACTAAGATGGCCGACATGGCTAAAAATAGAACATAGGGGTAAAATGCAAGTTTTGTCTATTATCTTGAAAACCACTATAGATAGAGAAAATCTGACATTAGGAAAAATGTTCAGAATGATTAGATCTACTAATTGTCCATTTAAATCTAAACTGTCAGACAACTTCTTATAGGAGTTATTGCCCTTAAATGACGAATTTTACATATTTTTTTTCATTTTTGCCTTTTATCTTTAACTGCAAAAATGATCAGCAAGACAAGATCTACAACGAAGTCAACAAGGTCGAAATCGCCAGACAACTCCTTATTGGAGTTGTTGCCCTTTAATGTTGATTTTTATCAATTTTTGTGTTTTTTCCTAATTTCTGAAAAACTATAATAGACAGAAACTTAAATAAGCAAAAATTGTCAGCAAGACAAGATCTACAAACAAGTTTCATTCTTGAAATTGTCAGTCGGTCCCTTATTGGAGTTATTGATAGCCCTTTAATGACAATTTTTGATAATTATTGTGTTTTTCGTGTAATATCTGAAAAACTATAATAGATAGATAGAAACTTAAATAAGCAAAAATTATCAGCAAGGCAAGATCTACAAATGTGTCATTATTGAGGGTTGAAATGGTCTTACGACCCCCTTATTGGAGTTGTTACCCATGACTGATGATTTTACTAATTTTGGGCGTTTTTGCCTGTTATCTGGAAAACTATTATAGATAGATAGAAACTGAAATAAGCAAAAATTATCAGCAAGACAAGATCTACAAAAAAGCTTCAATGTTATAAACATCAGTTGGTCCCTTATTGGAGTTATTGCCCTGTAATGACAATTTTTACCATTTTTTTGCATTTTTTGCTTAATATCTGAAAAACTATAATAGATAGATAGAAACTTGAAAAAGCAAAAATGATCAGCAAGACAAGATCTATAAATAAGTCTACTGGCCAGTATAGCCAGTTAACTCCTTATATTGGAGTTATTGCTCTTTAATTACGATTTTTAACAATATTTTATGTTTTGCCTATTACCTTGAAAACTATAAAAGATTGATAAACACTTTAAATAGCAAAAATGATCAGCAAGACAAGATCTACAAATTAGAGAAGTGTTTACTGAAATCGTTAGTAGATTTTTGTCGAGTCGCAAAAGCGAGACATAGCGATCCTACATTTCGTCGGCGGCGTCCACAAGTATTCACTTAAGAATTGAATGCTTCTTTTTGTAACTTCATTGGGATGTAAAAGCATTGACCGAAGTACATTTTGTATGAAGCGCAGAAGCGCTTCATTCTAAAATTGTGCGCATGGTCAACGCTTTTACAACCCTATGAAGTTACAAAAAGAAGCATTCAATACTTATAATTACATTTTTTAGCTAGGATCATGAAAACACGATTTTTATCAAGTTTTTATTTAATTTACCTGTGCACTTTATTGTGGGACCTCGTGTCATCATGAATGATAAATTTCATTGTGTAATGAAGTTGATTAAGGAATAACGCGAGATTGCAGTTAGCCAATCAGAATAACGTATTATAATGAAACATACATCTGATGTAATTATTCTGTGGTTAAAGTTTTTGAAATTTTAATAACTTTCTTAAACTATCCTGGATTTGTACCAAACTTGGACAGAAGCTTGTTTATGAACATAAGATAGTATCCAGAAGTATATTTTGTAAAAAAAAAATC